GCGCACCCCAGATCGGAGGGCGCCGATGTACAGGCAGCAAACCCACCCAATCTAGTGCATGCCTTCTTAAACATCACGAGACTCTAAGAAAAGGAAACCGAAAACGGGAAAGTCCCTCTCTCTAACCTAGCACTGCGTCGCTGGCTTGGAGACTGGTGACGGTCCCCGCGGGCCTTGCCCTGATTGGCTGGGCTCCCACGGAATATAAGTGGAGGCGTCGCGCCCGGCGGGCATTCCAGCGGCAGACAGCACCCGGGCCGAGATGTCTCGCTCAGTGGCCTTAGCCGTGCTGGCGCTACTCTCTCTTTCTGGCCTGGAGGCTATCCAGCGTGAGTCTCTCCTACCCTCCCGCTCTGGTCCTTCCTCTCCCGCTCCGCACCCTCTGTGGCCCTCTCTGTGCTCTCTGGCTCCGTGACCTCCCTTCTCCAAGTTCTCCTTGGTGGCCCGCCGGGGGCCTAGTCTAGGGCTGGGTCTCCGAGAAGCGGTGGGGTGGCCTGGGAGTGGGGAAGGGGGTACGCACCCGGGACGCGCGCTTCTTGCCCCTTTCGGCGGGAAGCAGGGGAGACCTTTGGCCTACGGCGACAAGAGGGTCGGGACAAAGTTTAGGGCGTTGATAAGCGTCAGAGCGCCGAGGTTGGGGGAGGGTTTCTCTTCCGCTCTTTCGCGGGGCCGCTGGCTCCCCGAGCGCAGCTGGAGTGGGGGACGGGTAGGCTCATCCCAAAGGCGCGGAGCTGAGGGCTGTGAATGCGTGGAGGGGCGCCTGGGGTCTGGGGAAGGCGTCGCCCGGGTAAACCTGTCTGCTGCAGCTCTGCTTCCCTCGGACCGGAGAGCTGTGGACTTCGCTAGGAGCCGCTAAGTTCGCCTGCCCTGCACCTCCGGGTCTATGTGGGGCCACACCGTGGCGGGGAAAGAGCACGCGACGTTTGTAGAATGCTTGGCTGTGATACAAAGCGGTTTCGAATCGTTAACCTATTTGTTCCCATCACATGTCACTTTTAAAAATCATAAGAACTACCCGTTATTGACATCTTTCTGTGTGCCAAGGACTTTACGTGCTTTGCGTCATTTAATTTTTAAAATAGTTATCTTCCGCCATAGATAACTACTATGGTTATCTTCTGCCTCTCACAGATGAAGAAACTGAGGCACCGAGATTTTAAGAAACTTACACAGGGGATAAATGGCAGCAATCGAGATTGAAATCAAGCCTGACCAGGGCCTTTTGCGGGAGCGCATGCCTTTTGTCTGTAATTCGTGCGTTTTTTTAAAGAAACATGCCTGCCTTCTGCGTGAGATTCTCCAGAGCAAACCGGGCGGCCATGGGCCCTGTGGTCTTTTCTTACAGAAGGCTTCCTTTTTGGCTCTTTGCCTGGTTCTTTCCGAGATGTAGTGTGCCTCTTACTTTCGGTTTTGAAAACATGAGGGGGTTGGGCGTGGTAGCTCACGCCTGTAATCCCAGCACTTAGGGAGGCCGAGGCGGGAGGATCGCTTGAGGTCAGTAGTTGAGACCAGCCTGGCCAACATGGTAAAAACTCGTCTCTATAAAAAATAAAAACAAAAATTAGCCAGGGGTGGTGGCTGGCGCCTGTGGCCCAAGCTACTCGGGTGGCTGAGGCGGGAGGATCTCTTGAGCCCGGGAGTTTGAGTTATCATGGCGCCAGTGCATTCCAGTCTGGGCAACAAAGCGAGACCCTGTCTCTTAAAAAAGACCAAAAAAAAAAAAAAAAAAAAGTGAAGGTTTGTCGAAGTCAGGGGAGTTGTAAAACCATTAATAAAGATAATCCGGCCGGGCGCGGTGGCTCAAGCCTGTAATCCCAGCACTTTGGGAGGCCGAGACGGGCGGATCACAAGGTCAGGAGATCGAGACCATCCTGACTAACACGGTGAAACCCCGTCTCTACTAAAAAATACAAAAAAAAAAAAAAAAAAACACTAGCCGGGCGAGGTGGCGGGCGTCTGTAGTCCCAGCTACTCGGGAGGCTGAGGCAGGAGAATGGCGTGAACCCGGGAGACGGAGGTTGCAGTAAGCTGAGATCCAGCCACCGCACTCCAGCCCGGGCGACAGAGTGATACTCTGTCTCAAAAAAAAAAAAAAAAAAAGATAATCCAAGATGGTTACCAAGACTGTTGAGGACACCAAAGATCTTGAGTACTTTCTAAATACCTGGCAATACGCTAAGCCCTCTCACCTTTTCCCCCTGGCAAAACATGATCAAAAGCAGAATGTTTTGATCATGAGAAAATTGCATTTAATTTGAATACAATTTATTTACAACATAAAGGATAATGTCTATATCATCACCATTACTGCTATTTGCTGGTTATGTTAGATGTCGTTTTAAAAAATAACAATCAGTTGTTTTTAAAAAAATCTTATTTTGAAAATTTCCAAAGTAATACATGCCATGCATAGACCATTTCTGGAAGATACCACAAGAAGCATGTAATGGTGATTACCTCTGAAGGTCTATTTTCCCCTCTGTCCTGTGTGTGGTTTTGTTTTGTTTTACTGTGGGCATAAATTAACTTTTCAGTTAAGTTTTGTAAGCTTAAATAACTCTCCAAAAGTCACAAAGCCAGTAACTGGTTGAGCCCCAATTCAAACCCAGTCTGTCTGATACTTGTCTTCTTCTTAGAAAAGATTACAGTGATGCTCTCACAAAATCTTGCTGCCTTCCCTCAAACAGAGCTCCAGGCAGGATGAATCTGCGCTCTGACCCCTGAGGCATTTATTATGTTCTTATTATTAGAAGCTCAGTTGCAAAGAGCTCTCTTAGCTTTTAATGTTATGAAAAAAATCAGGTCTTCATTAGATTCCCCAATCCACCTCTCGATGGGGCTAGTAGCCTTTCCTTGATGATAGGGTGTTTCTAGAGAGATATATCTGGTCAAGGTGGCCTGGTACTCCTTCTCCCCACAATCTTCCAGACATGATGGAGTAGCTGCCTTTTAGGATCATGTACCCTGAATATAAGTGTATTTAAAAGAATTGTATACACATATATTTAGTGTCAGTCTGTATATTTAGTAGCACTAACACTTCTCTTCATTTTCGATGAAAAATATAGAGTTTATAATATTTTCTTTCCACTTCCCCATGGATGGTCTAGTCATGCCTCTCCTTTTGGAAAGCACTGCTTCTGTAACATTAGGCAATGTATGCCCAACCTGGCTAGTTTACAGCAATCACCTGTGGATGCTAATTAAAACGCAAATCCCACTGTCACATGCATTACTCCATTTGATCATAATGAAAACTATGTTCTGTCCCATTTGCCATAGTCCTCACCTATCCCTGTTGTATTTTATCCGGTCCAACTCAACCATTTAAGGTATTTGCCAGCTCTTATATGCATTTAGGTTTTGTTTCTTTGTTTTCTAGCTCATGAAATTAGGTACAAAATCAGAGAGGGATCTGGCATATAAACCCTCGGCAGAAATAAAGAGGTTTTGTTGTTTGGTAAGAACATACCTTGGATTGGGCCGGGCGCAGTGGCTCATGCCTGTAATCCCAGCACTTTGGGAGGCCAAGGCAGGCAGATCACTAGAAGTTGGGAGTTCGAGACCAGCCTGGCCAACATGGTGAAACCCCGTCTCTACTAAAAATACAAAAATTAACCGGGCATGGTGGTGTGTGCCTGTAGTCCCAGGAATCACTTGAACCAAGGCAGAGGTTGCAGTGAGCTGAGATCTCGCCACTGCACTCCAGCCTGGGCAACAGAATGAGATTCCATCTCAAACAAACAAACAAAAAACCAACAAAAACAACAAAATAAAACATACCTTGGGTTGATCCGCTTAGGAACCTGAGGTAATAATAATAACATCTGCCACGTATAGAGCAATTGCTATATCCCAGGCACCCTTCTAGACACTTAATACAGTTTAGAAAATCAGGTGGGTGCAGATCGAGGCAGGAGCAGGAACCAAAAAGAAAGGAGTAAACATAAGGAAAAAAAATGGAAGGGGTGGAAACAGAGTACAGTAACAGGAGTAATTTGATGGGGCTATTATGAACTGAGAAATGACCTTTGAAAAGTAGCTTGGAGCCAAATCATGTAGATTCTTGAGTGATGTGTTAAAGAATGCTATGAGTGCTGAGAAGCCATCAGAAGTGCTTGAGAGCATCCAGAAAAAGGTTCTTAAAAATGCAGCACAATCTCCAGTGACAGAAGATACTGCTAGAAATCTGCTAGAAAAAAACAAAAAAGTCATGTATAGAGGAATTATGAGGGAAAGATACCAAGTAATGGTTTATTCCTCAAAATGGAGGTGGCTTGTTGGGAAGGGGGAAGCTCATTTGGCCAGAGTGGAAATGGAATTGGGAGAAATCGATGATCAAATGTAAACACTTGGTGCCTGATGGAGCTTGAGACCAAGTTAGCCCCAAGTGAAATACCCTGGCAATATTAATGTGTCTTTTCCCTATGTTCCTCAGGTACTCCAAAGATTCAGGTTTACTCACGCCATCCACCAGAGAATGGAAAGCCAAATTTCCTGAATTGCTATGTGTCTGGGTTTCATCCATCTGATATTGAAGTTGACTTACTGAAGAATGGAGAGAAAATGGGAAAAGTGGAGCATTCAGACTTGTCTTTCAGCAAAGACTGGTCTTTCTATCTCTTGTACTACACTGAATTCACTCCCAATGAAAAAGATGAGTATGCCTGCCGTGTGAACCATGTGACTTTGTCAGGGCCCAGGACAGTTAAGTGGGGTAAGTCTTACATTCTTTTGTAAGCTGCTGAAAGTTGTGTATGAGTAGTCATATCATAAAGCTGCTTTGATAAAAAAAAAGTCTATGGCCATACTACCCTGAATGAGTCCCATCCCATCTGATATAAACAATCTGCATATTGGGATTGTCAGAGAATGTTCTTAAAGATCAGATTAGTGGTATCTGCTGAGAGATTGCTGCACAGCATGGTTTCTGAACCAGTAGTTTCCCTGCAGTTGAGCAGGGAGCAGCAGCAGCACTTGCATGAATACATATGCACTCTTAACACTTCTTACCTACTGGCTTCCTCTAGCTTTCGTGGCAGCTTCAGGTATATTGAGCACTAACGAACATCTCAAGAAGGTATAGACCTTTGTTTGTAAGTCCTGTGTATCCTAGCGTCCTATAATCCTGGACTCCTCCAGTACTCTCTGGCTGGATTGGTATCTGAGGCTAGTAGGAAGGGCATGTTCCTGCTGGGTAGCTCTAAACAAGGTATACATGGATAGGAACAGCAGCCTATTCTGCCAGCCTTATTTCTAACCATTTTAGACATTTGTTAGTACATGGTATTTTAAAAGTATAACTTAATGTCTTCTTTTTTCTTTCTCCACTGTCTTTTTCATAGACCGAGACATGTAAGCAGCACCATGGAGGTAAGTTTTTGACCTTAAGAAAATGTTTTTGTTTCACTATCCTGAGGACTATTTATAGACAGTTCTAACAGGATAACCCTCACTATGTGGAGAACATTGACAGAGTAGCATTTTAGCAGGCAAAGAAGAATCCTACAGGGTCACATTTCCTTCTCCTGTGGTATGAAGAAGGTGTGTGGCCCCGGGTGTGGCCACATTACTGACCCTCTACAGAGTGGGCAAAGGAACTGCCAGTATGGTATTGCAGGATACAGGCAGGTGGTTACCCACATTACCTGCAAGGCTTTGATCTTTCTTCTACCATTTCCACATTGGACATCTCTGCTGAGAAGAGAAAATGAATCACTCTCTTCCTTTGTATAATAGTTGTTTTATTCTTCAGACAGAAGAGAGGAGTTATACAGTTCTGCAGACGTCCCATTCCTGTGTGGGGACTGTGTTTGCCTCTTAGAGGCTCCCAGGCCACTAGATGAGATAAAGGGAACCAGATTGTTAAAACTTGATGTAGTGATACTACAATAGATGTAACTACAAAGAACTCCAGAAGCAAGAGAGAGGGAGGAACTTGGACTTCTCTGCATCTTTAGTTGGAGTCCAAATGTATAAGATCCAGCTTTTCAGTGAAATTCTACTGCCCAGGGTACTTTGATGCTGAAAACCCATTCAAATCTCCTGTTATATTCTAGAACAGGGAATTGATTTGGGAGAGCATCAGGAAGGTGGATGATCTGCCCAGTCACACTGGTAGTAAATTGTAGAGCCAGGACTTGAACTCGAATATAGTCATGTGTTACTTAATGACGGGGACATATTCCAAGAAATGCTTACACAAACCTAGGTGTTGTAGCCTACTACACACATAGGCTACATGGTCTAGCCTATTGCTCCTAAGCTACAAACCTGTACAGCCTGTTACTGTACTGAATACTGTGGGCAGCTGTAACACAATGGTATTTGTGTATCTAAACATAGAAAAGGTACAGTAAAAAGTACGCTATTTTAATCTCATGAGACCACTGTCATATATACAGTCCAGCACTGACCAAAATATCATATCAGCATTTTTTCTTCTAAGATTTTGGCAGCACCAAACGGATACACTAACAGGATATACTCTTTGTAATGGGTTTGGAGAACTGTCCGTAGTTACTTCTTTTAAAAAGGTGATCTACACAGTAGAAGTTAGACAGGTTTGGTAATGAGATCTGCAATCCAAATAAAATAAATTCATTTGCTCACCTTTTTCTTTCCTTTTCAGGTTTGAAGATGCCGCATTTGGATTGGATGAATTCCAAATTCTGCTTCCTTGCTTTTTAATATTGATATGCTTATACACTTTATGCAAAAAATTCAGAGTTATAATAATGTTAACACAGGCATGATCTTCTTTATAATTCTACTTTGAGTGCTATCTCCATGTTTGAGGTATCTGGGCAGCTAGCTTTAGGAGGGCTGGCAACTTAGAGGTGGGGAGCAGAGAATTCTCATATCCAACATCAACATCTTCATCAGATTGAACTCTTCAATCTCTTGCACTCGAAGCTTGATAAGATAGTTATGCATATATAAGTTAACTTCCAATTTACATACTGTGCTTAGAATTTGGAGGAAAAATTTAGAAATATAATTGATGGGGTTATTGGAAATTTGTTATAATGAGTAAAACATTTTGTCATATAAGATTCATATTTACTTCTTATACATTTGATAAAGTTGCAGTTAATCTGGTTCATTTTTGTTCCACGAGTTAAATAAAACCATGAAACTTGATGTGTTGTCTCTTATATCTTGCTCCCACTATTATCCCTTTATTTTCAAACAGGGAAACGGTCTTCAAGTGCCACGTGGTAAAAAGTGTGAACCTCTTGTATATAGGGTTTGGCTCACAGTGTAAAGGGCCTCAGTGATCCACATTTTCCAGATTAGGAATCTGATGCTCAAAGAAGTTAAATGGCATAGTTGGAGTGACACAGCTGTCCATGAGAGGCCAGCCTTCTATACTTTAGCCAGAGTTCTTTCTTGTGGGCCAGGTCATGAGGAGTATGCAGACTCTAAGAGGGAGCAAAAGTATCTAAGGATTTAATATTTTAGCAAGGAATAGATACACAGTCATCCCGTGGTCTCCCTGGGGGATTGGTTTCAGGACCCCTTCTTGGACACCAAAATCTCTGGATATTTAAGTCCCTTCTATAAAATGGTATAGTATTTGCATATAACCTATGCACATCCTCCTGTATACTTTAAATCATTTCTAGATTACTTATAATACCTAATACAATGTAAATGCTATGTAAATGGTTGTTATTGTTTAAGGAATAATGACAAGAAAAAAAAGTCTGTACATGTTCAGTAAAGACACAACCATCCCTTTTTTTTCCCCAATGTTTTTGATCCATGGTTTGCTGAATCCACAGATGTGGAGCCCCTGGATACTAAAGGCCAACTGTACTTTGAATGACAACGGATTTAAGATTTTCAAGGCCTAGTTTTATACCTGATGGCCAGTTTTGTTTATTTGACCAAGAATCTAAATTAGCTAGTTCTAGGTACTGACAGGATAAATAAAACACAAGACTGCTCCCAATCGTCTCAGTTTAGCGGAGGGACAGATATGCACTCAAATAATTAAAATATATACCTGTTAAGAATATAGCATAGGTACTCACAAAGAACTTGGCAATGGAAATTTTGTTGTTCAGGCTGGGAGAGGTGTCTCATGTCTGTAATCTCAGCACTTTGGGAGGCCATGGTAGGATGATCACTTGAGCCCAGGAGTCCGAGACCAGCCTGGGCGACATAACAAGACCCTGTCTCAATTCGAAAAATTGAATTAAAAAAAAATAATAATTTTTTATGAAAGAAATAATGTTGTTCAAGGAACAACAACAAAAATCTAGGGAGGTGTTAGAGAAGCCATTCGCCTGAGCTGAGAGTAAGTGGGTAGTGGTTCTCTTGATTGGTGGGTGGGGCCTGGGTTTCCAGGCATGGGAGCCAGGAAGGACAGCCACATGGCAGGTTTGGGTAATTCCAAACAGTGGAGCAAGGGTATCTGAGGGAAGACTTGTAGGAACTTGGCTGAACAAATTGGAGGGTGATACTCTGAAAGAAAAACAAAGTTTTAAAATTTCTACTCTTACACTCAACACAGAATGCTTCTGTGACCAGATATGTTTTCTACATTCTGTGAGAAGAAAAACTTTAGACAGATTAAATTTAACAGAGTTTAACTGAGCAAAAATGATTCTCGAACCAGGCAGCTGCCAGAACCAGAACAGATTCAAAATGACTCTGGGGATGCCACATGGTTGGATAACATTTAGGGTCAGAAAAAGGAAAGTGATGTGCAGAAAATGGAAGTCAGGGGAAGAAACAGCCAGATTGGTTGCAGTTCAGCATTTGCCTCATTTAAACAGGGTTTGAAGAGTTGACCACGTGTGATTGGCTGAGACTCTGTGGTATAACAGTAAGTTACAGTCTGTTGACATATTATCCAGTTAGGTTGCAGTTCACTATGCATAGAGAAACCTTTAGCCTGAACTTACATAGGGAGGCAGCTTTATTTATTTAATTTTTGTTTTGAGACAAGGTCTCACTCTGTCACCCAGGCTGGAGTTCAGTGGTATGATCATGGCTTACTGCAGCCTCAACTTCCTGGCCTCAAGCAATCCTCCTGCCTCAGGCTCCAGAGTAGCTGGCGCTACAGGCACACGTCACCATGCCTGGCTAATTTTGTTTTTTAATTTTTAGTAGAGATGAACTCCTGGCCTCAAAATGCTGGGATTACAGGTGTGAGCCACTGCGCCCAGCCAAGGCAACTTTAGGCTAAACCTTTTTTTGAGACAGAGTTTCTCTCTTGTTGTCTAGGCTGGAGTGCAGTGGAACCATTTTGGCTCACTGCAACCTCCATCTCCAGGGTTCAAGCGATTCTCGTGCCTCAGCCTCCCGAGTAGCTGGGATTACAGGCATGCGCCACCACACCTGGCTAATTTTGTATTTTTAGTAGAGATGGCGTTTCACTATGTTGTCCAGGTTGGTCTCAAACTCCTAGCCTCAAGTGATCCTCTGGCCTCAGCCTCCCAGAGTACTGAGATTACAGGCATGAGCCACTGTGCCCTGCCTAGGCTAAACTTAATTTAACAACACCAACCAATCTCCAGCAGACACCAACTGGGTATCCTATAATTCAATTCGATTCTGATGGGATCTACCTGGAGATGGTGTCAGATCCACTGGTTGAGGGTTCCGTCCCACAAGACTGCCCTCCACTTCAGATGCCAATCACACATAGTAGGTTGTTTTTTTTTGTTTGTTTGTTTGTTTTTTGAGACGGAGTCTTGCTCTGTCACCCAGGCTGGAGTACAGTGGCCAGATCTCGGCTCACTGCAACATAGTAGGTTGTTACCTCTACTTCTGACTGACCAGCTGGAAACCAGGACTCCCATGACCCCCTCCTTGATTTTGATTAATTTGCTAGGACAGTTCACATTTACCAATCTATTATAAAAGATACTATAAAGGCTACAGACGAATAGCTAGATGAAGAGATGAATAGGGTTGTATGTAGCAGGTTTTGGTGGTAAGAGTCCATGCCCTCTCCAGGTGTATGCTACCCTCCCAGCACCTCCACACATTCAGCAAACAAGAAGCTCATCGTTCAAGAGTTTTTATAGAGCTTGATCTCCAACTCCCCTTCACCTTCCCAGAAATGGACAGGTCAGGGTGGAAGTTCCAACACACTAATCTTTTCATCAGTTGGTCTTTCTGGTGACTAGCACCATCCTGAGGCTATCTAGGGCCCCCAACCTATAATGAGTATAACCTCATTAACATATACTCAAGGGTTATCAAAGAGTCTTATTAGCAATAACAAAAGACACTCCTATCATTCAAAATTCAAAGGGTTTTAGGAACTTATGACAGGAACTGGGGACAAAGACCAAATGTGTTTCATATTACACCACACTTACCTAGGCCATTCATTAACTCTTCACTTGGGTGCAAACTAAAATTACATGTAGAGTTTACAAAAACAAAACAAAGAAAAACAAACACACACACACACATAAACAACAAGCTGGGCGCGGTGGCTCACGCCTGTAATCCCAACACTTTGAGAGGCCAAGGTGAGCAGATCATGAGGTCAGGAGTTCAAGACCAGCCTGGCCAACATGGTGAAACTCTGTCTCTACTAAGAACACAAAAATTAGCCGGGCATGGTGGTGGTGCGTGCCTGTAATCCCAGCTACTCAGGAGGCAGAGGCAAGAGGATCGCTTGAACCTGGGAGGCAGAGGTTGCAGTGAGCTGAGATCACGCCATTGCACTCCAGCCTGGGCAACAGCGTGAGACTCTGTCTCAAAAACAGCAATAACAACAACAACAAAAACCTTACCAGCTTCTCAGACTCTCATCCAGGCCAACTAAATCATAATCTCTTGGTATGGAGCCCAGGTATACTGTTATTTTTTT